TATATATATATATGAGTGCCAGTCAGGTGTCAGATAGAAAACCAAATGAAACAAGAACTGTATGAACTGAAAATGATGAGGAGAGAGAGTTATAATCATTTTTTAAATCTTTTATTTTAGTCATTTTTACATTTTCCATTTACAAAACAGCACAAAACGCGGAACAATGAAAACAAAACAGAACAACAGAAAATAATACACATTCTTTAAATTCCTGTCAGTGTCAAMAAAACAAGGTATAGACTGAAAAAAAGTGTAGGTAGAAGCCTAAGCTTTTTATACCTTCACTTAAGATCTTAAATCTTAAATGAGCATTTATTCTGAGTTAGATGAACTCGTACTGTAGCTCCAAAAAAATAAAAAAAGCTTTTTATTCAATATAGCATCTTGGTGTTTCATCAGCTAAAGAAACTACTTTACAAAAAATAAATAAATAAAAAAACTGCAAAATTTTTAATACATTAATGACCCCAGTTTATCATCCAGTGGCACTCCAAAGGGGTGGCCCTATACCCCTTGAAATTGCTGGCCATTCCACTGGCCCTCCAGGTAAGACCACCTCCATTTATAAAACATGTTATTCAGTTCACATAGACTATACATTCATTTTCTTTATTTGTTGAGTTTCGTGCTTTTGATTTTATTAAATGCAAAATTAATGAGTGATTAAATAAATCTTGCAATTTAAAGAAATTTACATTGTATGTTATTGCTGCTCCCATTTTCAAAGCTTGTTCCTTGTAAATACTTTAACTTATTTTAAAGAGACGGAAAAGTAGCCTATGGGGTTGCAGTAATTGTTAGTTCACCCAGTACCCTTTCTATTTCTTCATGAATGAATCCATTTCATTTGACTGACAGATTAGTCATATCAAGTGTTTATTTATGTAGGTAAAATATGTTTACCAACCAGTTAAACAGAATGCAGGAAATCTCAAATTTCAAAATTTTCTTATCTAAAAATTATCAACTTCTAAAGGACTTCTGAAACAAAATTTCTAATTTAAATTGTAAATTTTCAGTATGTTTCAGTATACTGTATTTTCATCTAATGTTTTTGGAGGGGTTTGTGATTACATTTTATCTATTGCCACCTATAAGAATATACATGTTCACATTCATGTACAACACTCACATTAGCTTACCTCCACACACACAGTGTGAGTACTCGATTACTACTACTATTATTAGCTATTTTATTTATTTTCTTACTCTTAGGAAATACTAACAACAGTGTAGAGACACATTCTGCTGTTTAAATATGAATACACAAAATTCATAAAACGACAACTATTCCTGTTTCTTCACATCATCTTGATAAAATTTARCTATTTTTTTTTATCTCCAAGCTGGAAATGTCCCCAGATTTAGTGTCAGAAACGAGTTAACTACTGTTTATAATACAAGGAAACTATATGAGATAACTACTATTAGTAGTAGAAGCTAAATTGCTCCACAGTTACATGGTTATTTACAAGTGCAAAGAGATGCAGCTACAGGTAGCTCTAGCACTTTTTGAGCACTCTCTCAGCAGAAGTATGATATTTCTGCCTGAGTAACTGTGCAAAGTGAAACTCATGACGATGTAAAGGTTTGTAAAATCAGGTTTGTGTGCAGTGCCATGAAATTTGTGAGACTCGAGTTGTTTAAGGATGGCTGCAGCCCACTTTGTTCATGACCCCACTCAGACTAGCCGTTAGCTTGTCAGTCCAGTCGTTACGTTCTGCCTCTCCAGTTTGAGTTTGTTCAAAGAGAAACAAGAGGCAATACGTTTACTGTTCATAACTCTTATGTAGAACCTCACTTCAAAAGATTTGAAGTATCTCTTTAGAGTTAGTTTTTAGAAAAGTTTAGTTATATTTGATTGACTCTGCAGGGTACAGATCTGCTTCAGCTGGAGACTGAGACTCAGCCTCAGTCTGAAATGGCCTCCAGCCTGCAGCAGATGGAAGAAGAGCTGAGGTGTCTCAGAGATGGTCCGAGGGTCACTCTGGAGGAYGTCACGGTCCCAGTGGACGGCCGGCTGGATGAACAGGTACCTCACAGCTGGAAAGCAACACAAACATGTCATTTATAAACTGGTCTGCTTTTCTGCTCAGAGCACCGTGGAGCTGGTCCGCACAGCAGTTGGAGGTGCAGAGGGCCAGATGATGGAGAGTCTGAGCCACGAGGCGTCACTACTCAGCAACATCCAGCAGCTCAAACTGCAGCAGGCAGGGGGGCGCCACAGCCCGGCTCCTCAAGAAACAGCACCAGGAAAAGGGAAGACGAAAACTGCAAAAACAGGAACGAGAGGAAACGCAAAATGAGAACATTTTCAGAGTTAGGTTTGGTTCTGGCTAATTCAAACAATTTGCTTTCTCATTTTATTTATTGTCACCTGCTATWTCTAAATATAGGAACACTAATTTGGAAAAAACACCAAAAAAAGTCTTTCAAAGTTTAAGTTTGTCATTCTTCATCTYACAAAGAGATGTTTGTATAAAATAATACTTCCTATAAGACTCCTTGTAGTGTGTTTTGTTTTGTGTCCTATTTGTCTCCATGTGGTGATGGACTGATGAGATGATCAGGTGTACTCTGCTTTCACCCAGAGAGAGCATTTAACTGGTTAACACTAAGATAAGATAAGATAAGATAAGATAAGATAAGATAAGATAAGATAAGATAAGATAA